CTCCCTTCCTTCCTTTTCCTTCCTCCCTTCCTTCCTTTTTCTTCCTTCCTTCCTTTTCCTTCCTCCCTCCCTTCCTTCCTTCTTCCCTCCCTCCCTCCCTCCCTCTCTCTCTCTCTCTCTCTCTCTTTCCTTCCTTCTTTCTTTCTTCCTTTCTTCCTTTCTTCCTTTCTTCCTTTCTTCCTTTCTTCCTTTCTTTCCTTCATACTTTAAATGGGGCTAGTCCGGACTGAGATGCGCTGGAAGTATAAAATACATACTGCATAGCAAATACTTACTGTGCAAAAAGAAAGCAAAATATCTTGATACTTTTTTATGTGATTGCATGTGAAATGATAATGTTTTCAAAATATTGAGTTAGATTAATGTATTATTAGAATAAATTGCACTTGTTTCTTTACTTAAAGAAAAAAAGATAATTATAGGGATGCCTGGGTGGCTCAGTCGGTTAAGTGTCTGACTACTCTTGGTTTCAGCTCAGGTCATGATCTCATGGTTCGTGGGATTGAGCCCTGCGTCTGGCTCTGCACTGACAGTGAGGAGGCTACTTGGGATTCTTTCTCTCCCTCTCTCTCTGTCCTTTCCCTGCTTGTGCTTTCTCTCTCTCTCTCTCAAACAGCTTTTAAAAATGACCATTAAAGGAATTTAAATTACATATATGGCTTGCATTATGTTTCTTTTTTTAAATTATAAGTTATTGTCAAGTTGGCTAACATACAGTGTATACAGTGTGCTCTTGATCTTGGGGGTAGTTTCCCATGATTCATCACTTACATACAACACCCAGTGCCCATCCCAACAAGTGCCCTCCTCAATGCCCATCGCACATTTTCCCCTCTTCCCAACCCCCCATCCACCCTCAGTTTGCTCTCTGTATTTGAGTCTCTTACAGTTTGCCTTCCTCCCTCTCTGTTTGTAACTATTTTTCCCCTTCCCCTCCCCCATAGTCTTCTGTTAAAATTTCTTGAGTTCCACATATGAATGAAAACATATGATATCTGTCTTCCTCTGAGTGACTTATTTTACTTAGCTTATACCCTCCAGTTCCATCCACATTGTTGCAAATGGCAGGATTTCATTCTTTCTCATTACCAAGTAGTATTCCATTGTATATATAAACCACATCTTCTTTATCCATTCATCAGCTGATAGACATTTAGGCTCTTTCCTTGATTTGGCAATTGTTGAAAGTGCTGCTATAAACATTGGGGTCCATATGCCCCTTATGAATGCTTGCATTATTTTTCTATTGGCCACTGCTGATACAGAGAAACCTCCTATGTTCTCTGTGAGATTCTCAGGAGAGGATGTGGTTCAGCCCTACCTGAGAAGGAGGAAGTCTGGAGTGGGGTCCAGAAGTTTGCAATTCTTACACTTTCCACATGTTGTGCTCTGGAAGCCCCACTTTGCGAACCACTGACCTACAGGCTCTGTGCTATTATCAAAAGTCTCGGGTGATTCTTATATGTCTGCAAATTTGTGAACTCCAGCCTCAGTGCCATTGAAAGGGGAGGGGGTGTGCTTGTGGTACATTTTTATACCAGACGTTGGTCTCTGGCCACGGCATCCATCCTGCTTTACCAGGGATAACTTCTTCAGCTCACGGTGACTCAAGAAGCAGAGAACACTGAGCTGTGTTTGACTGAGTCATTCTCCCCTTGAGAGGGAAACCAAGAGAAACGGGTGGGCTCCTGAGGAGGGTGCCAATCCAGTCGTGTGCTAAACCAGTTCCAGTTCCCTCTGGTTTGTCTCACAGGCTCAAACAACGTTGGTGTGGAAACCGTGTGTGAGTATGTGATTAGGGCTGGACCTGGACTCAGAGGGGACGGCTCCTGTGGATGCTGAGGATTAGCGGTAACAGCTGCTATCCTGCCCATTAGAGGAGAGACAGAAAAGACTTGAGAAGAGAGAAGAAAAGACTTGTTTAAAGGATGTGTCTCTGCAACGCGGAGGGGAGAAGCCTTTCCATCAAGCCGGAAGGAAAGTGTGTTCCTAAGTAAGTGGTGTCTTTCTGGGTTAGGTGGATAAGGTGCTGGTGGGAAAGCAGAAACCTCAAGGTTTAAGGAGGGGAGGGTGGGTGTTGAGGCTGCGACCGTGGTCTGTGGGATGTGGCCCTTCTCGCCTTCCCCTGTAGGCATCTGTGTTTGGTCTGACATGGGGAGAGAAGACCACCTTCTGCCATCTACAAAGGCTCAAGGGACATCTCTTTGCGGCCCTTCTGGAATAAAATGGAAAAGGCCCTGTGTCCCCTCAACTGAGGATGTGCCTTTAGAGTTCATTGTTCATTATCTCTTAATGTGTCTGGGAAACTGTAGGAACGGTCCCTTGTGGTGCAGAGGTTTTTGGCTTTTTTTTTTTGCCTCATGGAAGGCAAACCTAGTAGAGAAAGGTATTGCCTGAAAGACCTTTAAGACAAGTCCAAGAGATTAGAGTTTTGGGTCACCCTCCCATCTCCTTGTTCTGGGCCACGTAAGAGGTGTGGGGGTGGTGAAGACAGGATTGAGCTAGATGACACTGGATTATTTGCTGTTACGTATTTGTAACAGCTACTTTCACTAAATTTTAAGTATTTTATTCTTACCTTTTAAAACTAGCTTATTAGACAGGGGGCTATTGTCACCTTGCACTACTCTTTCGATCAACATGTTAGCCGCCCTTTGAAAATTCTTGTGTATATAAACAATTTCAAAAAAACCTACTTTAAAAAATACCTGACCATCCTGAATAGATTATTTTCTTTAATTTTTTTAAAGCTTATTTATTTTGAAAGAGAGAGAGAGAACACAAGCAGGGTTGGGACAGAGAGAAGGGGGAGAGAGAGAATCCCAAGCAGTCCCCACACGGTCAGCGCAGAGCCTGAAGTGGAGCTCAGATTCATGAACCATGAGATCATGACCTGAGCTGAAACCAAGAGCCAGACGCTTAACCCACTGAGCTACTCAGGCGCTCCCAAATGCTTATTCAGAGAGCTTTCACCTGTCGTACTTGCTATCTCTCACATTATTCTCATCTGAGAACTCCTTTTTTTTACACAGTAAACTTTTAATTCATTCCGTTGATGGCATTAGAGCTGGGAAACAAAAATGAAACTTACTCTATAAATGTTCTTTTATCCAATCATTTTATTCTATTCCTGAGTCAATTTTTTTTCTGCCAATAAATTTAACAATGGGTCGGCTCAGATGTAGCTTTCTCTGCTCATCTTCTCTGTGAAAAAGTAGTGAAATAACTAAATCCAGTCAACAGAAGGAAAGACAAGAAGATATCAAAGTGTTGCAAATTTAACAGTTACTTCCAAATAATAGATAGTCGGCAGAAATTTTGTAGCATTCAACTGTGTAATTTGCAATTGTAGAGATAAGATACTAAACCAAGCCACCATATGCCGTGGGGCCTGACCATATTGGAGTACTAGATGCCTCACTTCAGCAATAATGTATTATAGCTCACACTGCCCTTGGAGATCAGACAGCTTGTAAAGAGTTCACATTAGGATACAAATATTTTCTGGCCTTATTTCTTTGACTTAATTAAATCCTCTCTTTAAAAAGAAACAGTCTGGTCTCATAAGAAAATTATAAGAGAGGTTTAAAAAAAGTATTTAGAAATGAAACACTTTCTACAGCCTGGTACATCTTTTTGATCTTGACCTTGATCCCTTGCAATCTGGGGAGGCAGCACTAAAGCTATCTCAGGTTTAAAGACAGTATGGGATTTAGGTCAGTTAAAGGCAGTGTGGATTCAGATCGGTCACATTCAAAAGGATGTCGTATTATTTTCTTAAATAGCATCGTATTGAAGCTGTTACTTCTTGTGACACAAGACAAGGGTAGGATGAAGGTCCCAGCTGCCCTCACAGGCTGGGCTTGTACAGCTCTCTGCCTGGCTTCCTACTCAACTGCCTTTTCCCATGGTGCTGGCTCGGTGGCCTGTGAGGACATGCAGCCCAAGCACATTCAAGCCCAGCCTCAGAACCCCCGGACGCACCACATCACCATTCACACCAGCAGATCTTCCTACTTACCGGGAGAGACCATTCCAGGTATGTATGGGAGAGCTTTGAGAGGCCCCCAAGCCCCTAGTGACAAATTCCAAGCTGTATATGTCCCAAGCATGTGTTTTCTTGGCTAAAGTTTGACTTAATCCTAAGAAGCAATCATTTAGCTGAAGATAAGTATGAACTATTTGTATCATGAAAACCACATAATGAATCTCTGTATTGATACTCATTTTTACAAGAGGGCACAAATAGCATTATAATAAAAAAATCCATCCTTATAAGATAAATATAATTACCCTGAGTAAACTTCATGTATCGTGTATATGTGTATGTGTGTGTGTGTGAGAGAGAGAGAGAGAGAGAGAGAGAAATAGACTTTTGGTTTTCATAATTTAAAACTAACGTTATTTGCAGAGTGAAAAGACTATTTCCTGCTATTTTAGTTTAAGCACATGCAAAAACAGAGAAGAAACATGAGTGCAGGTGGTTTATTGGGTGGTGATTCCAGGAAGCACAGGTGAGGAAAGGCAGACAGGGAAGAGAGAGCCACCAATAGGAAGTTTGAGACTGGGCAGGTCACTGCTGTGGACAAGTGGGGCTCAATTCCAATGGAGACCCTCAAAGAAACCACACAAAACATGCCTCTGAATCATCTCTCAAGAGGTTGGAGGGGCTGGGGCACTTACAGGTTGAGGGTAGAATCCCCACCACACACACACACACACACACACACACACACACACACACACTTCAAAGTCATGCCTGCTTACCTTGGACCAAGCTCCCAGCAGAAAAAGCAGAGAAGAAATCTACAGGCACTGAAAGTGGTAGCTGAGTGTTGACAGAAAAGCATCTGTGCAACCACGTGTGAACTCAAACACATCAGCTGTGTTCACTTTACCCCGTTTTGATTTTGCTAATTCTTTTTTTTTTAAGATAGAAGTTCTTTTTTTAATTTTTTAAAATGTTTTATTTATTTCTGAGAGAGAGACAGCATGAGCAGGGGAGGGTCAGAGAGAGAGACACAAAATCTGAAACAGGCTCCAGGCTCTGAGCGAGCTGTCAACACAGAGCCCGATGTGGGGCTCAAACCTACTAACCGTGAGATCATGACCTGAGCCGAAGTCAGACGCTTAACCGACTGAGCCATCCAGGTGCCCCTGATTCTGCTAATTCTTTTGATGGCAATTAGAGGAAATAAATCAAATAAAATTTACTCTATAAATATTGTTTTATCCAATCATTCTGTTCTGTTGGTAAGGGTGGGGAAAAAGTATGTGAGTAATATATTGCACCCCCTCCCCCAGCAACATATTCCCCAAACTGAAATTCAATCTATTCTAACAGAGCTTCCCAAACTAGAAAATGATAGGGGTGCCTGGGTGTCTCAGTCAGTTAAGCATCTGACTTCAGCTCAGGTCATGATCTCACAGCTCATGGGTTTAAGCCTTGTGTTGGGCTCTGTGCTGACCGCTCAGAGCCTGGAGCCTGCTTCAGATTCTGTGTCTCCTTCTCTCTCTGCCCCTCCCCTACTAACACTCTGATAAGTAAATAAATAAACATTAAATAAAAAAGAAAATGATAGTATGTGTAGAACATGCTGGGGCAAAGGCAAGAGACTACTCAAGGCTAGGGGCAACTTTTCTGGGGTTCCTACCACCACAGTACACACCCAGGCACCAGCATGAAGGGATCAATCAGCACCCCCGTGTTCTGTGGCTGAGGGAGTGAAAATGAGGGGGGAGCTGTAAAAATGACCCAAAATACTGTGATACCCAAAACTCTCATAAAAAGTGACCTGAAGGAAACATAATTGTATTGTTATTGGAAGTAAGACAACATATAAGACAAGAGCTGGAGGGAGCACTTCATGGATTCTATAAGGGTCACATACAACTTTGTTGTGCTGGGATCACCTTGTTCTCTTTTCTGTTCTTTTTTTTCTGGGATCCCACACTAATCTGTGAGCTCCTTGAGCTCAAGGACCGTGTTGTCCTGCTCATGGATGTGTGCTCATGCCTAGCACAAGCCTAGTTTTAAATAATAACTAAATGTTGTACAAATGCTTATTAATGAAAGTTCAAATGCAATGGAAAATAAAATGATCTCAGACACTAAGTTGCATTTAGCAAGCCTATACACTTATACCCGTGATTTTAGCTACTCATTTAATTACAAATGAATTTGCCATAGTATTTTATGTCTGTAAGAAAAATTCCTGCAAGTGGAGTTGCTAGATCAAAGGGAAACTGCATTTTGAGGCTTTTTTGGTGTGTGGTAAAATATATATCATATAAAGTTTGGCATTGTAATTGAAGTGCACAATTCAGTGACATTAATTTCACAGTGTTGTACAACCATTACCATTATCCATTTCTAGAACTTTTTTTATTACCTCAAGCAGAAGCTCGGTGCCCATTAAATAGTAATCTCTATCCCTCCCTCCTCCCAGACCCCGATCATCTCCATCTTTCTGTCTTCATGATAGTTTACCTGCTCAGGCACCTTGTGTAAATGAATTATGCAATATGTCATTTTGTGTCTAGCTAATTTCACTTTACTGTAATGTTTTCCAGGCCCTTCCATGTATCAGAGACAATTAATTGAATTTTAAATATGGAAAATATTATTAGGTTGCCCCCTCGAAGAGCTGGATAGTTTTTGGTACTAGCACTAATGAATGAGTGTTCTAGTTTTTCCCCAGTCCCATCAATACTGGTTATAATCACACATTTTTAAATTTGTTAGTATGATAGGTTTAAAATAGTGTCTCATTTATAATTTTCTAAATCATGATTGACCTTGTTTTGTTTTCTGTTTGTGTCCTTTGATAATTTTAAGTTTGGTTATCTTTTTATTGATTCACTAATACTCTTTGTATCTGCCTGTTTTATATCTTTACAAATACTTTTCTTAGTTTATAAGTTGTCTTTTGATTTCTTCTATATTCATAACTTTTTAAATCATCTTTTTCTTTATGGCAATTGGGTTTTTCTCAGGCATTTTAAGCTATAATATTTTTTACAAACCACATTTTTCCTAGCTTTTTTGTATTTCATTTTTTAAAAAATGTTGTAATGTTGTATTTATTTTTGAGAGAGAAAAAGAGAGAGAGAGAGAGAACACATGGGTAGAGGAGGGGCAGAGAGAGAAAGAGACACAGAATCTGAAGCAGACTCCACGCTCTGAGCTGTTGGCACAGAGCCTGACATGGGGCTCGAACTCGCAAACTGTGAAATCATGACCTGAGCCAAAGTCAAATGCTTAACCAACTGAGCCTCCCAGGCACCCCCCTCCTTTATTTAAAAAAATTTTTAATGTTATGTATTTCATTTTTACATAACTTGGTTTTAAATCAAATTTATTTTGGGTGTAAAATAACACTTCAACTCCCACCCCCCTCCATGAATTGTTTACTTTCTGAGGGCTTGTCTTGAGCTGTTAGTTTTGACAATACCCATGTAAAAGCACAAATGGCACCACATTAAGAGTGCTCACCCCGAAGGGATGTGTTCCATTGCAGTGACCCTGAGGAGCAGTCGGGATTTCATGGGATTTCTACTGCAGGCGCGAAGAGTCTCTGATCATCAAATAGCTGGCACTTTTGTTTCCATTCCTCCTCATTCCAAACCAATGGCTTGTTTTCAAGAGGCTGACACAGTCACCCACTCTGACAAGTCCCGGAAGAGAAACCTGGCCTTCGAGTGGCAAGCTCCTGCCCAGCCTGTGGGGGACATCAGATTCCTGTAAGAGTGAGTCAAGTGCTGCTTCATAATAAGGGAACCTTACACTTTGAAGAGAGGGGGCTTCTCCTTTCCCTTCCTTCATACTTTGTCCCCTACTCCAGCCACCTAACACGAGGAATACCTCAACTAGACAGCCTATGGAGGGGGTAGGTAACAAAGAACTTGTCCCTGGCTTCCCACTTTGTTGTTATCCATGCCTTGGGAGCACATGATTTCCCTTTCTCTCTGGGCACAGATGCATCTTAGCCAACCTCTCCAGGAAATAATGGCCAGACGACAAAAGAAGGGTCGGTGGGAGAGTAGGGAAAACTAAGAAAGACAGAGTCTGAGGCACACAGAGAAGTAGACACTTCCCTAGGCCCAGGAAAGCCACCGAGGTCTCTTTGCCTTGGCTTGTGGTCTAGCAAATGGGCATAAGCACCTACCTCAAGGGCTTGTAAAAGGATGAAAGAGCCAATATATGCAAAGTGCTTACAATGGTTCCTGGCAACAGTAAACTCCATATACACATCATTACTCAAAATGAGACACTTGCTTTGCCATTCTTTTCAGACTCTTGCATTTACCAAGAAAGAGATTTTTTTTTTTTTTAACTCTTGGGAAAGAGCATGTGTTCTTCAGTTTCTTTTCCCCACACTCTCCTATATATATAAGGAGGAGGCAGTGCCTGAAGGTGGAGGCATCCAGACTCCATGTTGTCTTCCCCACCAGGTTTTCCCTTCTGTACTAGGAACGATGAGATATGAGCACCATCTCCTGCCCCTTGCTCCACCAGTGCCCCTTTTCTATCCCTTCCTGGTAGACTAAGTCAACAGGCAGGACAGCCGTGGCATAATGACCTTGCCCATTTGAGAAGGCCAGTATCCATCCACTTGACTGTTGGTGCAACCTGGCTTCTGCCTGGGGTTTTGGTTCTGATACAGTGCAGGGGAATGTGTGTTATTTGAAGTCCTTAAGTCTGTACAGTTCCTTTTATTTCTCAAATTACCTCCATTTCTCTTTCCGGCTTTGCCATCTTAGCTGCTATGTGCTACATCATAAGTGGTTTAGGAACCATTATTTCCCTTTGACAGTGAAGCCACTTGATCAGTAGCCTCTCCCAAAGGCGCCCTGTGCTGGCTCACCTCCTGGGCCCTTTCCCATGATAGAAGTGGCCCTGTGCCTGAGGCCTGAGCCGTACTTGTACCCTAACACTCTGGGTGACCTCGGCTAAAATAATCACATTTTTAACAATACCTTCTGAATATTTAAAGTGGGAAAAATGATACTGGCCAATAATCCCTACCTCAGAGAAATTTGGGGGAGGATAAATGAGATACTGTTTGTGAAAATGATTTTTACTCAAGAAAGCCGTGAGCATTCAAAATATTGGAGTACCAGTGATTTATCTCCAATTTTTAATGGAATCTACAGTTGCAACAGAACCATACACTTGTACAACAGAATTATGAAAGTTTCAATTAACAGAGTAATTCAATTAACAATAGACCAGTAATGGCTAATAATAAAGTTGAAGAGGGAACCTTTTGAGTCTAAACAGTTCAAGAAGACACCTTTTAGTCAAAATGAGGTTTTTAATGACAATATTTATTCAGGAGGGTAATTGATTTATACATTTCCTTTCCTGTGTTAATTGTTTGCTGCTATTGAATGTTTGTTTCTAAAGAGAGTGGAGTCACCCAAAGGGCAATAGGATCATCTCTTTCGTTTTTCTATTCATTTAGACTTTTGTTCTTCTTCAGGTATTATTTAAGGGAAACTAAATCCTCGCATCATCTTGCTTTCTGTTTCCACAGTTTATCCATCGTCCAGTCCTATTTCGTTTACTGGGAGAGGATTGAATCCCCTGTGGTGTCTCAACAGATAGGCAGCAGAGCCCTGGGTGATGGCCACGTGCACCCAGGCTCACTGATGCCAATCCTCGGGTGGCGACCAGAGGGAACTGAAGGAACTGCCCCAGGTACAGCTTGCCATGGGACTCAGAGGCCTGATTGGCATTGTTATTTTTATAGCTATCTATTTTCACTTAGAAGTTACAGCCTCTGGTCCCAGCTCTGGCCACATGAACAATAAACACCTGCCTTGGCTGGCTGCTGTAGTTCTCAGGGACACGGTTGTGGCCAGGAGGGGACACTTGCCTATGCTGTTTGTTGTGGCAAACAGACTTTGTGTGGTTCAACCTTCCAAATTAAAGTGGGCCCTGGGGTGGACAGTTGGATTCTGCTACAGAGCCAAAAAATGGCAGCGATCTCCCCCTACACCCACACCTATGGATCATCACAGTGTCTCAGTGGTTTCTTCAGACCCCTGGAGCTACACAGGGAGCACAAGAAAGAGATGATCTTTTCTTCTTTTTATATAAAACTCATCTCGATATAATTGTTACTTTCCATAGTAGGTAGCTGGCTCTTTACAGCCTGGGTTGGAGAATGGAATCAAGAATGAGAGGCTGTTTGGATAGCAATGGACTTTTTCTTGGCTCACCACATAACTTGAGACTCGATTGGCCTGTGAACTTCTGAAACAAAACAAAACAAAACAAAACAGGGGCACCTGGCTGGCTTTGTCAGTAGAGCATGCTACTCTTGATCTCAGGTTCATGAGTTCAAGGCCCACATTGGGTGTGGAGCCTACCTAAAAAAAAAATAAAATAAAAAAAAAAAAAACAGAAAACCAACCAGCTAGAGAATAAAGTGGTCACCTGAAAATTCCTGGTCATACAGAGCTCATTTCCATTGTATATTTCTAGTTAAGTGCTCCAAATGGTACACTCTTAAAGGTGTCTGGCCACCTGCACAGAAGATCCAATCTGTAATCCTTGAGATCCCACTTTCCTTTATTCCATCCTTTGTTCTTGGCCAACGTGCTCGTGCCTGATGTTGCTCAGTCTGGCAGACGGGGCTCAGAGCTCATCCCGGGCCACTCTCCTTACTCTGCCTTTATCCCCAGCTGTCTTCTCCTCACTGCCCAACACAGTCCTCCAACCTTCCCGGAAAGATGCTCCTAAAAGCAGAGTAAAGATCTCGGGACCTGGCAGTGTGGCCTAAAGAAGACCCTGCAAACCCAACGTGTGTTTGAAGTCTTGTGTTTTATTTTATAAATCATGCAAATGTTGCATTTTAATCTCAAGCATGTTTGTTTTAATATGAAAATGAGTAAAAGTGGGGTGTCAGGAAGTTGCATCATGTTGACCCTGCAGCCTGTCTTAGGACCCATCTGGGAACCTTGTCCCTTGGGAGGTCTTGGGGGTGGGAGGTGAGTGTGTGACAGATTCCCATCTGAGTAGCTACAGGATAAACTCCTTATTACGCTGCACACATTCCTCCCCTTCTGGCCCAGCCTGTTTTCCTGCCCATTCCTTTACACAAACCGCAGTGTTTCCTAAAGGAAAAAGGACTGTGTGTGTTAGTCTGTGCATTGAGACGGGGGAGGAGGGGGTGTCATCTAGCCAAAGTGAAATAGATTTCTCAACTGTAAGAAGATTGCAGTAGGCCAATTATGAATTATGAATTTTCACATTAGGAAGATAGTATATTGTATTTCCCAAACTTATTTCCCAATAGACCCTCAGGACACTTTGGGGCCTGATCTCCATGTTTTGCCTTCTGACATTTCCTGAAACCGGGTTCTTCCTTCCTGATAATCTGTTTATCTTTCAAGGGGAGGTTCAAATATCTTCTCTGTGAAACTTTCCCCGTGCTTCTTGGGAGGCAAATGTAATTGCCTTCTTAGCTCTGGTTTTAAAGTCTCATCACACTGTAATTTATAAGGTCGGGCATCTAAGAGGCTCTCTTCCTAGACTGAGTTCAGAAACAACAGTCACTACCATGCAGCATTTCGGCCTCCCCAGGCTTCACAGCAATGCCCATCATACAACGAATCTGCAGGAAATGCCCAGATGCATTTAGAGTTCAGGCAGGAATCTAAAACTGTTAAGCTTTTGCCACATTCTGTGTGTCTGTTAGGCTTCTTTGCTTTTCACTTCATTCTCAATGTGTCTGAGTGATGAAGGCTTTGGAGAAGAGTGGCACAAAAAGAAAAAAAAAAGCATTCCAACCCAGTTAGAGCCCTGGCCAGAGAAACCTCAGCGAATGTGTGTGTGTGTGTGTGTTTGCAAACACCACCGTTGACATCCTAACGGTTATCATGGTAAGGCCTCAGGGCGCCTTGCACCTGTGCCGTGCACCGTGTTCCAGGCTTCTCCATCAGTGATCTTATTTCACTCCTCAACAGCCCTATGCTCTAGGTACCATTATTGGTCCCATTTTGCAAAAGAAGAAACTGATGCTCTGGGAGGACTTGCCCCAAACCAGGAGGCAGTGGAGCAGAGATTTGAACCCAGACAATAATCTGACTCCCAAACTGGTCTTGCTTGCTTGCTGTGCTGTTTCTATTTCTAATGCTCTGGGCTGTCATGTTGGCCAGTCATGGATGGGAAATGAGATGGTGGAGGGCAGGGGAGGGCAGTGATCTCGTCTCTTCCCATGACAGAGGCTCAAGTTATTATCATCACCAGGGAGACGTTTCCTGTTAAGAATATGGCAAGAAAGATCTAGGGCTTTTAAAAATCTTTTATTTCTGGGATTCTGATTTTGTCTTTTTTTTCTAGCTAGAAGCAGTTTTTGGCAGAGATAAGGGAAAAAAAAAAACCAGTGGTCATAGTAGTTTCTATATTCCTTTAGTGATGACTATTAAGAATGTACAGGTTCAGAGGGCCAGAGACTTACTATTTATAAAAATGTTAGAAATCGAGTCCTCTGCCACTTGGTCAGGGGCTTATATTACTGGGCAGATCATCTTTTTGTTGATACTTCTGAGTGGCCCAAACTTAATGGTTAGTCCCCAAGGCACCTTAAAGTCTCTAGTATTTATCCCACTATCATAGTTGGTTGTGCTAATCAGTATGAGGAAAATGCTCTCACTCTCTTTTGTGGTGTCTTTGGATCTCTGCTTAGCTTCCAGTTCCCTTACCACTCTTCCCCAGAAGCGTGCAGACATCTTGGCTGTTGCCCTAACTGGAGCTGCAGAGGAGAACAGTTTAGATCCTTCTCCTGCCAGCTTTTGGGTGATGGAGTTTCCTGGGGGTGCAGAGACTCTGTTCCAATCATCTTCACACACAGCTACTGCAATCAGCAATGGCCAGCAACCCAGAGGGGACAGCAGCCCAACCCCAGAACTGTCCCTGAATGTCCATGGGCTGGAGAGACTCATGGCTCCCAGGAGATTCTCCTCAGAGGGCAGTGCTTCCAGCCCTAGCACCTACCTCAGGTAATGGGTCAGGGGTGGACCATTCGGTAAGGTGGTAGGATGAAGTCAAACAGTGAGGTGCTGAGAAAACATACACTTCTTGGTGTCTGACAGACAAAGACCTCACCATATTTATTCTTAAGTGCACAAGAATCCCTGATTGTGGAAGGGCTACTGGTCAAAAGGGCTGGGTATGAAAATCACCTGAGGAAACTACCTTTTTGGACAGGGTGAGATCTCTGAGATGCTGCTATAAATAAAATAAGACACAAATATACCTTTCATAGCTTATATATGTAAGTTTATAATATATAAATACATATTTTATGTAAAATAAATACAAACATTCAGTGAGTCTTTGTTGCTATCCTCACTTGCCTCTTCCCCATGCCCTTTCCTTTTCCCCTATAACCCTTAGCTCCAAACACAGAGTTTTTCCAATGAAATCTGATTTTATCAGCATACACAGCAATGGTAGGAAATGCTGCTTTTTGATCAATATACATAGTGACCCCTTCTCAGCTCTTCTGTCCTTCCCTTTAGGACTCAGGATGATCCAAGCTTTGGTTCATTGGAAACTTGCCTGCCCTCAGATAGGGATGAACAGGTAATTGTCTTGGTTGTGAATGGGTGATGAGGCTGATATTTTGATTGCAGTGTGGGAAGTCCCAGGCTGGGAAAGCAGAGATATTAGACTAGTAGCTGAACTTTGAGAGGAGGAGGCAAGGGTATGATATATATTCAGCATCTTTTTACCAATCAATACCAGCCTTTCTGTTACATGCAATGTCTCTGAAGTTATCGACAATTGTAGAAATTGATAGTTTTAGTGATTTGTTTTCCCACTTAGCCTCGGTTAATAATTCTTGTCTCCCCACCACTATGCCCCCTCTTTATAATATTGGCCTCAAAATACCATGTGTGGTTCCAGAGGTTGGATCAATGGGCAGTATAAAATATACATGCCCACTGATTTACTATTCCTTTGAGGTCTTAAAAGGAATACAAAATAAAACATGGTATAATATTCTTACTCAAATTTATTGGAACCTACAGCAAGATTAAATGTCCTCTTTCATGGGTCCTAGCATAAAAAGACACTCAAAGCTTTCTGCATTGGAGATGATAATCACCCATATTGGTCTCGAAGCCTCTTAAAGGACCCTAAGTTTATTCTTATAACTGACCTCTATGCTCTCTTTGTGGGGTTTCCATTAGCCACCTCATCCCCATCAATCACAAGGGCCTAGCTATCTACTTAGGCATTTTATTCTGAGCTCTTTTGGGACCAAGCACAAGGCTGGGTTTTCAGTTGCTGTCTGGGATTCTTTAAGGATCACAGGTTAATTGTGAAGTTCAGTGGCAGCTTTGAAGAAGACTAGATCCTTTAACTTCTTTTTTCCCCTTTGCTTTTCTAGGACAAGATGGAGTCCTCTAATAAGACTGTGATGAGCCCCCCTCTGTCCACTGTCCATCTTACCTATCCTCGGCACCTCTGGTCCTCTGAAGCATTCACTGGGAGTGAGGCTAGGGCAGCCACCCCAACCCCTGTCTTCCACACTTCTACCACTTCTAGGCTACCTGCTGTAGGCAGCCAGTCAGAGGCATCTAGGTCTTCTGCCAGCTTTTTACCTCAGTCAAAGTACAAGGAGCCCAGAGTGGGGAAGGGAAATGGAAGGGGCAGAGGGGGATACCTCAGGAAGCCCAACCCAAGGTCTGAGGTTGGGCAAGAGGGACCCAGTGCCCCTTTGGGGATCCAGCTCAAGACTCCCCAGCTGGGACTCCTGATTTGCCTTTCAGCCACCTTGGGCATGGCCCTTGCCGCTGGCCTTCACTACCTGTATGCCCAATATTGCCACACACAGAAGGAAGTGTCCTTCAGTGAGCCTGCTGGGGATGCTGTTACCAGGAGTGAGGAAGATGAGACCGTACATGTCAGGAAGATCGGGGAGAACAGTTTTGTTTCGGTTGAAGTGGAATACAACTGGATCACTTCCTCTGTGGGTAGCGAGAAAACAGTCCTCTGAGAAGATCGCGGTACTAGGCAGGCCTCTGAGTGGCCTTCCCTAGACCCTGCAGTGTCTCAGCCAGAACAGAGCTAATGAGAATAGCTGATGAGGACAGGGGCTCCCCCTACCCCCTGTCAGTGAGCAGTTAGTGAAGGAAGCTGTGAGCGGACCGTTTTATCAACAGAGGGAGTTCTTCCCGAGCTTTGTTGTCTTAACATCTGTAATTTAGCTGCTTTTTTTCTTTTCACAATTAGACGTTCTGTTTGAAGAGTTAAACTCCACACAATGAATATTGTATAACCTGCTCATTAACTAGACTCCTGTGGCCACTAAGCTTCCTCTGTTGCCTTAAGGAACCTGCAGAAATAGAAATTCTGTCCCTCCTCAGTATGTCAGCCTCATCCCCTCCAACTCTTTGGGAAAAAAAAAAAAAAAGTAATGTTGGGGTTGTGTCTCTTGCAAGAAAAAGAACCACGGCCCTTACTTTGCTTCTCCAAACTACCCCTAAAAAAGTTTCATTTTCAAAACTGGCTCTCCTTCAGTTGACTAGGTGAGTGCAAGGGTATTCAGTCTTCTTGGAAACTCAGAAGCCTGGCATATCCCCTTGGAAATCGATCTGAAGCAAGGAGAGTTTGAGAGAGCTCGACTGAACACATCTGTGGGAAAATGTGTACATGCCGCTTAAACACCAGAGTGGAGTAAGCAAGGCTCTTCATCTGGTGTAAATGGATCTGAAACTTCCCATCCATTTACACTTGTTGGGAGGCTTATGTATCCTAACAGCTAGCAAACATATTGCCTTTTGCCAAAGGTTAGGATGAAAAAAAATGATGATCCCACACAATTTGAAGAAGAGCCTCTACTCATCTTTTCAGGGAGAAAAGGAAGACAGCATCATGGACAAAATCCATCTTCCTGCTCTTTTGATTTATGAAGATCACTCTGATTTAGGATGTGTCCTGTAGATATTGTGTGGGTTCGAGTCGACAGGTTTGACTATAACTTTTGAATATGCTCACCTAATATGACACGTAGAAATTAGCTGCCTTTTCACATAGAAATTAGCTGCCTTTTCAGAGACAGATCTGTTACAGAGTCACAAAGCATTTTAATGAAGAAACAGAAAAGCACTATACATTTGGAAATGATGTTTATTTATCCAGCACCTAGATCGTAGAGGTACTGTGCTAATAACTTTGCATACATTTTCACATTTAACTTTCACAATAACTTAATGAAGAAAAAGTGTAGTAATTTGCCAAAAGGAGAGAGGCTTTCATGACATCTCAATTCAACAGCAAAAACTTTCTTTTTTTTTAATTGGGGATGTGGGAAAGAGATAGACCCTGCTGTTTCTCTAGCCTCTTTTAGCTCATTGGGCACTAATACCATGGTTGTTTCCCCCTGGATTCTGGGCAGCTCTGTCTCCTGTCTTCAGTCAAGTGCCTCATTAGGAAAGGGAGACCTAGGTAATTATGTGTTCACAAATGAAAGTGTTCTAAAAACTGTGGAAATGAGTGGATTTACCGTACACAAATGGTGGCCACAGATATCCCTTTACATATCTCACCCTCCTCAATGAAATCCTTCCCAAGATGTAGACGAGGACTCCACCAGTGGAGAGCTCTCCTTGGGCCATCACATCAGATGGCCAAGTGTACTACATGTACGCCTTCAAGATCTTACCTGTCCAAGAGGGCATTTTCCTGGTAAAACAGACTGTTATCTATTTGTGTCACAATTGTTTGTGAAATAAACTATCCCAAAACTCAGTGGTTTAAAATAGCCATGACCACCACTGTTTGTCGTCCATCGTAGTTCTGGGGTTGCCTGGGCTCAGCTGGACAGTTCATCTGTTTCATGTGTTGTTGAATGAGCTGGAACACCAAAGGTGACTCACTCACAGGGCTGGCAGTTAGTTGCTGGCTGCTGGCTGGGGTTCAGCTGGGGCTGTTGATGAGCAATTTGTTCCTGTTCTTCCTGGCTTCTACAGCATGGTGGCTGGATTCCAAGATGGGCATTTCAAGCACACAAAATCAGAAATTGAGGCCTAGCCTTGGAAGTAACATGGTTTCACTTCCGCCACTTTCTAGTGGTTACAGGAAGTCATCGGCCAGCCCTCCTTCTTCAAAGAGAAGGGCAACGGATTTCACTTTATGATGGGAGAAGTGGCAAAGGATGTGAAGCTGTGTTTAATTCACTACCTCTCCAGTTAGACTGCCTACCCGCCATAGGACTTACGTGAGAGTAGAAGGAACAGGTGTTCATCCCCAAGAGGTGCTCTGGGTGACTTGTCCTGCAAAACATTGAAAGGGGTGAGGGAAATCTCAGACATCAAGGTTAGGTGTTTCCTCTTCTCCAGCTCCACGGGCAAAATGGTAAAGTGGTGCCAAAGAGTCAGCCAGGCCTCTGGGTCTCAGCTTCCCCATCAGAGAAAAACAGAATTATTTACCTGTTTCAGTTGTTGTGAAGATTAAATCCATGCTCAACATTTAGCCATCTATATAACTAACTACTTGATATCCCCTTGCAGCCAACACTCTCTTTAAATCTAGTTCATTTAGAGAAATTCCATGATCACCAAAAACATGATTCCCTTTCCCTGACAGCTTCTCCCGGGGGCCCCTCCTTCCCCTGCCCAGTGCATGGAGGTGGTCACGGCATTAGTTGTCATGGTAGCCACTGGCTACAGTTCCTGCTGTGGGTCATGCATTTTTGCCGAGACATTCAGAGTAAACTCTTTTTTGGCGGGGGCAATGGGGTCCATAGACCTGTAGTCGTGAGACATAAAAACCCTCTGTTACTATGAACTTGAAGGTCCTCTAAGCCTGGCTTCAGAGAAGCCCCAGAGAGTAGCCAGTAGGAAGTGTTAACCCGAAGGCATTTACTAAAGCACAAAGACATTAAAAGTAAAAAAAAAAAAAAAAGCAAAAAAAAGCAAAGCAACTCAAATGCAAAGTCTTAACATAATTTTTTTGTTTTGTAGAAACAGTTACAGAATTGTTGGGCCAGCCACTTCTCAGAGAAGGGGGTTTGGGCTAAATGCACAGGAAAAACAATTGCTGAAAGCTATATTTCAAATAAATGTTTTTACATCTATTGTGTTCATTTAATAATGGCAGATCGAGAGTAGGAGGGTAGGGGTGAGCCTCAACCTTTTTACATTAAAAGGCTATTTCTGATATTTAAAATTGATTTCTCTCCTTGGATACAACATTTTCGCTAAATCACAACTTTAATGATAGCGCGGCTGAGCTATCCCGCTGTTGAGGCTTCCTGGATTTTAATTTGCTGTGACAATGTTTGTTGCCTTTTTTTTTTTTTTTTTTAAATCTAATTAACAACAACAACAAAAATGGGTCAACAAACCAGTAAATATTTAAACAAGTGTCATGTTTTATTTGAAAAGTTGTCTAGAGATGGCTGACACTTTATGAATAAATTACAGGTATACCCTCTCCCGTTCTTGGACTTCTGGTGTTCACCAGTGATCCCGCCTCTCTGGGATACAGGCTCTGTGGTTTGATTTCACTCTACCCCAAACTACCTCTTTATTCTAAAAGTGGTGGGTGGCAAGGAATTTCTTTTATTCAAGTTAAATGAATTTGCAACACTTATTTTATCAAACTTGAGAACATCTTCTCTGCAAGTGGAGGCCTTCGGGGACTGCAAAACCAGGTGCAGTCACCCCTGGTTTAGAGTATTAGGAGGGCCTTTAGGATAAAAGGAAGTCTGATGCTTATTCCATTTGTTACTCCATTTTTTTACATGCGGAAAGAAAATGTGAATGTGTTGAGATTCCGCTCTGTTGATAATTGAGTGAAGCTTCCAGGACAACTGAGGCCTGTCAAATGGCTTCTTTGGTGCCTTTTTGTTTTTAAAACATAGCTCAATGTTTTTCTAATGTTTATTTATTTTTGAGAGAGAGAGACAGAATGCGAGTGGGAGGGGCAGAGAGAGAGAGAGAGAGAGAGACACACACACACAGAATCCAAAGCAGGCTCCAGGTTCTGAGCTGTCAGCACAGAGTCCAACATGGGGCTCGAACCCAGGAACCATGAGATCATGACCTGAGCCAAAATCGGACCCTTAACTGACTGACTTAACATAACTCACTTTATGCCGGACTGTCTCTGAGTTCTCGGGTGGCTTTCCACCTGTCTCAGAATAAAGTCTGAACATCTGATTGGGCTGACCAGGGACTGTGAGACCTGGCCCCCCCGCCCACCTTCTTCCCAGCTTCCCACCTCCACTGCGTGGTCATGAGCAGTCCTTGAACACCACACCACTCCATTCTGATCACTTGCTCTGGCTGTTCCTGTTGCCTACAATCCCATCCCCTCCAACATCCTCAAGCTTTCAGAGCTTTATTCCAATGTTGCCTTATCAGAGAGACTCCTCCTGGCCATTGCAGCCTTTTCTTGCTCTCTATGTCCCTCCCTGCTTTACAATATTTATAGTACTTATCACTTCCCGAGTCTTATGAATTTATTTGTGTTTATTTTCTGCTTCCACCTGACTAGGATGTTTTACAGTGGCAGAGACTTTGTTTTACTCTTTGCTATTCCCCCGGCACCTCGAGTTGTTCTTAGTACATAGTAAGTAATCAATAAAAATTTGCTAAGTGAGTGAATGGAAAGTTCTGGGTTTATGTTGCTGTCCCCAGTTCTTGGTCTGAATTGAAGTTGAATATATAGCACCTGGGGCAGTTCTAGGTAGGGTGGGTGGGCAGCAGGAAATGTCTAGAGGTGAACGAGAGTACTGTGGCCCTGGGCAGGGAATGTTCTTTGTCTCAGATCCAAGGCTCAGGGGAGTTCTTGGCATAGAGAGGCTGACAATGGACTGAGCTGAGCTGGGGCAGAAAGAAAGCTGAATAGAGTCTTTCCAAGTCAGAAGGTCACCTGTGAGCACACTTTCTTCAGTGTAGATAGTCTGGCACACGGTTTCTCAACCTCCACACTCTCAACATTTTGGGCTGGACAGTCTTTTGCTGTGGGGCTGTCCTGTGCATTGCAGGATGCTGGGCAGCACCCGGACCTCTACCCATGAGATGACAGTAGCTCCCTCCTCCCCAGTTGTGACAACCAGAAGTGTCTCCAGACATTGCCCTATGTCCCCTGGAGACCAAAACCATCCCCACTGGGGAGCTGCTGGTCGGGTAACTCAGAGCTGCCATTACAGGCCCCAGGATGAAGCAGGCTTTCCTAAATCATTTCCATATTCAGGGATAGAGTGGGCAGTATTGAGACCGAGAACTATAGGGATTAAAAATTAGGAATGGCTTTAAAGGTCATCTGACTCAGTGGTTTTTGATCTTTTAATTTTGCTTCTTAGGCAGAACAATAAAAGTCAGATACTCTGGTTAAAGTTTGAGGGTATCTTCCCTTTTTCCTTCCCTCCCCCTTTCTCTCTTTCACCTCACCTTGAGGCACTGCCTCAGAAATTTAACCAACAAGCATGGCTAAACATCGTTAAAAACACCTCCTTCTTATAGGCGAGGAGAAGAACAAGGCCGCTGAGAGCTCACAGTGGAACAACAAATTAGAGTCTAGGGCCGTCCATGGACTCCTTCCTTCCATCCTGACTTCCAGCCCACTTTTCTTTCCAACACACTTGGCAGATCATTTGTTTCCTTGGAGCGTGTGGGGTGCTGTAAATATTTCAATGGATCCAGAGAGAGCCCAGAATCAAGCAGAAAAATGCCTGGAATGATTAATCTGCATGTGCCACTAGACCCAGGACGATGAGACGTGGGGACTGGCCACTTACGGTGGGCAGTGACCAGGCCCCAGCAGTGGCTTAGGGGGAGAAGATAGACAAAGGGAAGAGGAACCAATGGACCCACATAGAGAAGATGCTGGCCGTCATCGTCCCACGACTCAGCAAAGAGCCACCACTGTCAGAGGCTTCCTTAGTGTGCGGCCACCATCTTGAACTTACTGCCTCCCTTCTTCTGGGCTCTGCATTTTCCTTCCTTCGAATGGCACCTCAGGAGAATCTTCATCCAACAGCTGATGATAGACAGCTTCTGCAAAGGGTTTTGTTACTTGATAGAGGAGAGATGCTGCCTAGAGATACATTCCATTCGATATTAAAGAATGTATTTTCCTGATTTATAGTCAGGAGAGGCAGGGTTGTCTGAGAGGCAAGGAACCAATGGGAATATCCATTTTGACTAATGATTAATTATTACATCTAAAGTGATGTTTTCCTATCAACTGATAGGCTGGAAAAATAGACTACAGCTTGCTAGGTTAGCACCAAGGGTCACAGATGTTGCCTCTGCATTTTCAGATTATATTATCCATTACAGAGAGCACCTTCTCATTTAGAAACATAATTTGTTGTTCTCTCAGACCAAAAAAAAAAAAAAAAAAAGGAAGAAAAGAGAAGAAAAAAAAAGGCTGACATTTCGCATGCAAGCCAAAGATTAGAATCACTGCACAGGACGGCATATGGAAGTACATTAGGATGTGGTGTCCCTGAATCAAGGACATGAGGCGGCTTGTGCTGAGAGAGACATAGAAGGCAGTGACTTCTGATCTTTATTATGCAAATGTGCAGCCCTGAGAGCCAGGCTGTTTAACCTCATCAGGGGAAAAGTCACTGATCATTTCAAGCTCCAAATGTAGCACAAGCATTAGTACTATTATGTTATTATTATTATTTGCAGGGCATTGTGTAAGCCTGAGCCCTCTGATTAAGTGGAGCCCGTACTTGCCCAGACCCTCTGGGGTTGCAAATCACCTCCTCCAGGTATTAAAAAACAAACAAGCAAGCAAATCTGTTTTG